ACGCACATTTGGCAGAGACATTTTTAGAAACTTCCAAGCTATGAATTCACCCTTCCGTTTTGCTAGAGCCAGTTATGTGAAAAGCATTTCAAAAGCAGAACTTCAAACATAGGCTTAATTTCCTATCAATTCTTAGAGGGGGGAAAAAAAAATACTGTTACACTCTTAATTTCTTTTCCCACAGAGATATAATATGTAATATTTCTGTATTTGCTGACACTATGATCAATAACAAAATAATTGTAAGCCAAATCAAATCAGTCTTTTCAACACACTTACACCATATGTTAAAACTATTTCCAGTTCTTCTCTTCAGGTTCACGTTTTATTGCAGTCGCTAAAAGGTGGCTTTCCTTGAAAACATACATCTAAACTAAATGCTTAGAAAGAAATGGACACCAGGATCACACCTGCATCCACAGCCAGCACCACGTGCTGGCAACACAGCTAAATATTCAACAGCACGATCTGACTCCTGACACACCGAGGGTCAACTTCCAGGCATTTTCCCCTTTTCCATGGGGTTCAGAAAAACCAAACAGATCTCAGTAGGCTGGACTCCATAGGCAGGACCTGACATAGACTCTCACAAACCAGCAAGCTCTAAATCCACTGAGGCATCAGAACTGCCCCATCCTTATCCCTAAGCAGCTCCAGCTGCACAGCAAAACACCCCTAGTCCTTTAAATGGCTTCAGCCCCCTTTGCCGGGAGGACACAGGTAGTTAACCAGCACTCAGCTGATGAGCAGGAGTTCATTAACCCACAGCTGCTTGACTGCTACCAGCTGCCTGTCTCAGCCCTTGAACTCCAGGGCAAGATTTCAGGCCCTTTTTAAGCTCATAGTAGTTACTTCCTCCTTGTTTTAAAGGAACATTATTCTTTGAAAGAGAAAGATTTTCACTGCAACTGTTTTGTGACAGCAAATCCCACTATCAGCCTGCAGTGACCACATCCGATACCTGCTGCCTGGGGGGAAGGAATGGTCCAGGTAGTGCCAGGAGCACTCCTGTTCGCTTTCACTTGTGTATGAACCCTCCAGCATAGCCTTGAACGCTTCTCCAGAGCCCTCTTTCTTTCTTCCTCTAAAGCTCCCCAAACGCCTTCTGCAGTCCTGGAGCTCCTGGTCTCAGGAGGGCTCCAACCTTTGGCCTCCAAGTCACGCCAGCCCAAAAGTGCAGAGGGAGCAGAGGCCATCCTCTTCTCACCACCCTTACAAGGTCTGCTGCACTTACCAGGGCAAACTTGAAGGGTGAAGCACCTAAGAAAATGTTACTCTCTTTCAAATAAATTGGTGTGATACCAGCTTTTACCCTTCACAACACAACCTCAGGCATGCAGCAAAAGCAAGACCCTGAGACAGCATCCTGCGTGATTCAAACCCCATCTCCATATCAAGAGGCGGCCACAGAGACCAGACCCAAAAGACAGAAGATGCAAACACAAATCCACCTGTAGACACAGAAGAACTGCACAGGCCCAACTTGCCACACTCCCTGGATAAATGTTGTGAGTATCCGACAACAAAAACTCAGGCACAACCACATCCTCTTCCCACAGTACTGCTCCCGCTCACTTATGCAAAAGATGAGATATAGAGACCTACCTTCAAGCCACGAACAAGGTCTGTAGGCGAGAAGAAAGCCAGACACCATGCTGCAGCCTGGAGGGACGATGTTTGAGCACACCCACCCAGCCATCCCCAGCTGTGGGACATATGGGCTGATTGAGGCATCCCACCATGCCTAGGAAGGATCCAAGGCACCTACCACCAGCTCTGGCTCTGCTTCTCCAGAAAACCACCAAGCCAGGGTGTCTACTGAGGCACTATTTGTTAGAGGTGGTGCTTCACCAAATCACCCTTCTTACCCCAAAGAGGAAATAACATTTATCTTGCTGTCTCCACCAATTATTTTTTTTTCCAGTCTGTGGTCCACCAGGAGCCTGGATGCTTTCTGGCTGCCTATGGAAGGAAATGGTTCAAGTACCAAGTGCTGCAGATTGACCCACTGTGTCCTGGGGAGGATTTCTCTTCCCCTCTGCCAAAAGGTCCAGTTGTCCTTCATCTTTTTTTGCTTATTTCTCTTGTCTCTAACAACTGTAAATTCACAATCAGTTTATACAGAGCAGTTAGGTATGTTTACAAAAGGACTAGATTATTTTTTTTAATGAAATCCAGATGCAACAGAAAGCAAATGTCATAAGGAAGGTCCTCAAAAGTTACTTTTTGCCCTCAGAGTGTTGCAGCAGGCAAGGTCTGAAAGCTAAAATTTCAGTGACGAGAATAGAACAAAACCAAAGACATTCAGCAACAGACCTTTTATTTTCCCCCAAACCGCTATATTACAATCCCCACCTAAAAAGATCACCCCTTTAAAACAAACTTCACTGAAATTCTCAGAGCTGTGCGAGAGCTGCTGCTTTTTTAAAGGTTGATCTATGTTCTGACATGCAAAGATGAATGCAGTGAAACTTCCTGCAGACAGCAGAGCTCGCTCTCCTCTGCTTAGCGTCCCAGTATCTCAGAGATTAGCAACAACCTATTTTTATATTGCATCCACGTGAGGGAGGAAATACTGAGGCAGCTCATGTTTGAGCACCTGCAGGTACTGTGTTTCAGAAAGATGAGACTGTTTTCAAGCTGGCTGAAAAAAATAAAGCCACACTGCTACATCTGGCCTAGGAGCAGTAAGTAGCCCATAAAAAGAGAATTTTATGGACTGCTCTGAAGTTGCATAAAATGGCATTGCACTGGTGATTTGGAAAATAGGAACTGTTGCACAGCAATTCATTTGAAATGTATTTATAATCTAAATAATCTTCATGTCCTAAATATTATTTGTACTTAAAGCCATATTTTCCAAGACTGGGGGACAGGTGGACACACTTTTATCACCCTTTGTATGTTTGTACCCCCCTGTGCAGAAGGGCACAGGGACAAGCAGGCTCCAGAGAGGGCAGGACCCTGACACTAGGGATGATACGTGTGAAACTCAATAGCCAGTATCACTGAGATGGATGAAACTTGCTCCGTTGTGGCCCCAACTTGCAAACTACACAACGCTCTCCTTGGTTAGCCATCTACTCATCAGAAGACTTCTTCCAAAGCAAGGCTTTTATTAAAAAGCTCACATTGTTGACTTTATGCAACGTATGTTTTTTAAGCCAAATAATTTCTCTCTTACTCAAAACCAGAACATGCATATTGTCAATTTATTTCAATCTCTGTGTAAGTCTGTATCTCAGGAAAGGCTATTAGGAAGGCTGCGCTGAAATAGGATGAATACACAATATGGAAAAAGCCACATCCATCTGTCTAGCCTGCGTATTACAGGACTTCCAGGGCAAGAAAATGATCCCGACTCCCATCCAGCAGTGCCCTCTGCGGGATGCACCGATCCCAGTGCTCCCAGTGCAGAGGTCTTCAGATCCCTTGTTACTATCCCAGGAAGAAAGTCACAGGTATCAACTCTTCAGGCAGAGCCCTCGATTTTGAACTGGACTACAAATTCCACCTTTCCTTGTTTATGCCCATAGCCACACAATCACCACTTCAACTGTCCCATACTCTGCTTTGGATTACTACAACCTACTGCCGCATCTGTATTTAACCAAGCTTGTAGCAGCTGCCAGCAAAAGGGTATATTGTGCCTACTGCTAAGACTAGTAAATGAATATTACAATGACAAGATAATCGACTGGCCACCTCTTCTCTCTAAAGCTACTATTGAGAACTAACTACAAAGGTAACCTAGCCTCAAATTTCACATAAACTTATATACTGCAGTTTGCTTGATGTCTTTATTTCTTAGGATATATGTAGCACTGCCTTTTAAAAAGTTTACTTCTAACTACTAAATTAAGGCAGTATTTAACCATTCTGTGAGAATTTCCTAAACAGAATGTCAACTTTACCAGTCAGCTCTGAAGAAGCAATGAGTCAATTTCCAGAGGGGAAGGCAATGTCAGTTTTAAGAACATTGCAGTGCAGGTTTTGGTACTTCAAGGTACAACATGGAGTGTGGCAGTTTGGTATTTATGTTATCAAAAAGCACATCCAACTCCCATTACTAAAGCACAAGAGACAGGGAAGGTAATCACTGTTAAAGATTTTACTAACTGAGAAAAGATCAACGGCATATGCAAGAAAAACTTTCAAATGTACAACTTGGCAGTATTTTGCAAATATGAAGTATTAAGTGGAATTTTAAAAAGAAAAGAAGCAAAAAGGCTTTTGATTTCAACAGCTTGGCAATGTAATTCTCAAATATATTGCTGGAATTTATAGTAACAAATGGAGCTCCCATTTTTGCTTTGGTCAAAGCCCTCTCAAGGCCACAGGAAGAGAGCCAGATTGTCTGTGTGCTATGCTCCCAGAAAAAACAATCCATAAACAACCACTGCTGTTAAGTATTAAGCAGAATTTTTACACTGGAAGATATTCAGGTTCTTTCAATCCACTACACTTTGTTTTTAAACAAAACTCAGTTTATATGGATACAATAAATAGTTTATTAATGGAATGTATGAGAGTTTCTCTCTTCCATCCTTCCTCTTTCTCTCAGCACCTTACACACAGAGGTCAAAGCAGCTTCCAGTCCAAGTCAAGGACAAAAGTTAATTTCAAGGCAAAACAAAGAGAGGCTGAAAGTTAAGACTGGCACCTTTGAGTGCCTAGTTCCTCTAGTGTTTGTCTGGTTCCCCAAACCTACAGGCAAACTGGTATTTCTTCTTTCCACACCTTGATCTACCTGCTTCTTTCCAACTCGTGCTCATTTAAGCTCTTCTTAGGCAGGCTGCGTGCTCCATGGGGACAGTATAAAGTCATGCCTGCTCTAGCGCTCTTTCAGCTATTGCAATATCCCTTTATTATTTTATTTAAAAGCTCCACCATTATGATGCCATCTCTTTCTGGTCTTTTATAATACTTCAGTTCAGCTTTGGAATTTTACAAAAAGGGAAAG